GGTAGGACATTCCAAGTCTTAACTTTATTACAACCTCATTGAGTGGCTTTCAGCCATTCTTCTACTTCCTCTGGTTTCAGTACTACAGTGAGGATGTTTGTTTATATCTCTTCTAATTATAAAGAGAACTTTGGGGATGAATGCAGATATTGACCTGGCTTCCATCCCAAGGGTGGGACAAGAATCAAATGGGAAAACAGATGTGAAAGTGCTTTTATTAGGACAGAGCAGGGTTTCTCAACCTTGGCCCTGTTGTCGTTTTGAGCCAGATAATTTTTTGTATTAGAGGATGTTTAACAGCACTGCTAGTCTCTACTTATTTGATGCCAACAATCTCACTCACAATGCAATTGTGGCAACTAAAATTATTTGCACATGTTGCCAAATGTCCTCTGAGGTCAAAATCAACCCTAATAAAGAACCAATGATGGAGAAATATATATATATGTATATGTGTGTGTAATATAAAATATACATAAATATATATATGTTTAAATATATATAATATATAAATTATATATATATATATACATATATATATCCATCATTATTAAATAGATAACTTTGAGAGAGAACAAATGAAAAGAAGAAAATGTCATATAAGTGGAGTTCCAGAGAGTGCCAGAGATGATCACTCCAGGGAGGAACAGTAGATAATACACAAGTGAAGACAGTGCCAAATGCAGCATCATTTCTGGGCAGTATATTTACTGTAGGAACAATATGTACCTTAAAGAAAGATGGAGAGATCAGTTTTGTTGAGGAACCCTTCCCCATGAGACAGGAGTATGGGTTTATAGTTCTTGACAACCTCTAGTTATAAATGGTGATAGGGGGGAGAATACAAGAAACATGAAGGACACAGCTTATTAAATATGGTCAAAGATGGCTGGAATGTCATGGATAATAGCATTTAGTAAAATCTCTGATTTAGTTACTACACTGATCTGTCTAGTATTCTTTTTATTTTATTTTATTTTTTGAGAGATTTGTGCTATAGGGCATGTGCACTCACTGGGGAGATAGAGAGAGAGAGCTAGACAGAAAACAAGAAATCACCCCTCAGGGGAGATGGTCACATCGCAATCCCTTCTCCTCCAGGGATCTTGGGCAGACATACACACACGCCCCTGTGTGAGTTCTAAGTCACCAGGTTGTGGACTTGAACCGTGGTTGACTACGTAGGAGTTCAGTGACGTAATCATTATGCCATCTGCTGGTTCTTATCTGTCTTGTATTCTTAATTGTGCTAGCTATTTGACCTTGATCAACTTATTTGTCTTCTCTGAGTAATTGTTTTCTCCTTTCCTCTTTGAATTCAGAATATCCAATTCCTTAATAATACAACCATTATGAGCAAGACTACTCATTGTATTACAGAATGTTCCTCTCTGCTTAGTGCAGTGTCTTGTGTAGGCTTATAGCCACACAATACATCTTGTTATTGTATCATTTTATAGATGAAGAAACCAAGGACAAGAGAGGCTTTAAACCTACCTCTCCCTGTCTTCTGAGCTCACACTGTTTGTCCACCATTCTAAAAGTCACTGTTTTACAGTAAAAAGTTAACATGTAACAACATTGAGTTATTATTGGCTGTTTCTCTTTCTTATTTGCTAGACTGTGAGCAACTTGAATCAAAAGGTTATGTCATAAGCGTCTATGGTTTGAATGTGTCCCCTAAAAGTTCATGCACTGAAAACTTAATTACAAGTGTAAAATTATTAGGAAGTGGGACACTTAAGAGGTGATTGAATTTGCCCTCAGGAATGGATTAATAGTGTTATAATGGGAGTGCATTAGTATTACAGGTGTGAATTCATTCTCACGGGAGCAAGTGAGTTCTTACAAGAGATGATTGTTATAAAAGTGAGCTCAGCTTGCTTTCCCTTCCACCATGTTATGATGCAATATGAAGGCCCTCATTAAATGTTGACCAGATGCCAACACCTTAATATTGGACCTCCCAGCCTCCAGAACCATGAGCTAAATACATGATTCTTTATAAATCACATTGTCTCAGGTGTTCTGTTACAGCAGCAGAAAACAAAGACAGAAAATTGGTACCCTAAACTGGAGTTGTTTATGCAAAGAATACCTGAAAATGCAGAAGTGGTTTCGAAATTGGTAGTGGGTAGAGGTAGAAGTATGTGGAGGAGCAGGGACTAAAAAGCCAAGATTGCTATGAGGGGAGCTTAAGAGCAATTCTGGTGAGGGCTCAGAAGACTAGGAAAAGTCTGGAATTTAGAGATGACTTAAGTAAGTCACTCCATAATGTTGATAGAACTGTGGACAGTAAGTCCCAGTTGTGATAGTACTAGTGGGAAGTCACTACTGTGTGATGACTGGGGTCACAAGGGAGGTTCAGTTTCAGTTCATGGCCTATCCTGAGCAAGCTGGGCATGGTGATACATGCTTATGATGTCAGCGGACTGAGAGACTGGGAAAGAAAGGATCACAACATGGGTGGACCCTGTCAAAAATACCCATCTCTCTCTCTCTCTCTCCACTTTTCATGCACATTCTCATTAAAAACTGCCCCCCCCTTGGTATGCTTCCCCTACCACTCTCTTCCCTTCTCTCTCAAAAGAAGAAGGAGAAAAAAAAAAGAAATATGGACACTAAAAGCCATTTTGAGGAGGTCCCAGATGGAAAAGAACAACATGATACTGAAAACTGGAATAAAGGCTATTCTCGTTATATGGATTATATTCTTGCCCAAGGGCTTTGTGGGATGTATAATCTAAATACAAAAGAAATATTTGTCAGCAAAGTATTTAGGCTGCTGATGTTTACTTTTAACTGCTTTACATTAAGCTATGAAAGGGAAAAATAGCTTAATGATAGAATTTATAATCAAAAAGGAAGCAAAGCAGAAAGATTTAGAAAATTCCTGACTTGGCCATGTAAAGAGTGACAAAAACATGTTAAGGAAAGGAAACCAAGGATGTGACCCAGCTACTATTTGCTAAAATGAATAGTATGGATAGAAGAGATCATCAAAATATTGGAAGAAAAACCTCAAAGAAATTTCTGAGATTTCAAGGCTGCCCTTTTCATTGCAGACCCAGAGGCCTAGGAAGGCAGAATGCTTTCGAGTGGGCCTTGGTACCCTTTATGGCCTGACTGCCTAGGACTACCTTGAGTGTCTGTTCCCCAAATTATGGAGCAGCACCTCTCAGCCACCATGACTGTGGATCAAGCAGACTCAGGTGTGTGCTTGACCCACCATTCTAGAAGGTAAAAGCTGTAGACCTTAGTAGCACCAATCTGGCTAATGAAGGATCAGATATGGCTCCTGTTGCAGTTCTGGAGGGTGCAAGCAGTAAAACTTGGTGGTGTCCACATGTTGCCAATTCTAAAGGTTCACAGAATGTAAGAGCTGTGGAATTTGCAGCTGGGTTGTAAAGGCTGTATTGAATAGATTGTGGGTCCAAATAGATTGTGGGCCCAGGCAGACACTTCTCACAGGGCTAGAGCCTTTGTAGAGAGCCCCTTCTAGAGTGATACTGAGTGGAAATGTGAAGTTAGAGCTGCTACAGAATCCTCACCAGGGCTATCCCTTGTTGGTCCTCAGGGGTCAGGCTGCCACTGGGACCCTAGTACCATAGGGCCACCAGCATGAACACTGGCATAGAAAAACCTAAGGCATAAGACTCAAATCTGGGACAGCTACTGATGGGACTAAGCCTAGCAAAGCCATAGGGTCATGGCTGTCTGAAGCTTTGGAGACTCAACCCTCACCCCAGTGTGTCTAGGAGGTGGAAGGTACATGGACTGAAAGGTTATTCTGAAGCTTTAAGGTTAAATCTAATTTTCCCAGTTTTGGACTTAATTAAAACATATTATTTCTTTTTTCTTTTCTGTTGCTCCATTTTGAAATCAAGATATCTGTTCTATGCCTGTCCTACCATTGTATTTTGGAAGTAGATGATTTATTTGATTTCACAGGTTCACAGGTTCACAGGTTCACACCTTTAGAGAAATTTGCCTCAGGATAAATTGTGTTATGAGTCTCACTCATATCTGATTTAGATGAGACTCTAGACTTTGAAATTTTGGGTTGATGTTAGAACAAATTGAGATACTTAGAGTTACTGGGATGAAATAAATGTATTCTGTATGTGAGGACATGAATTTTGGAGGATAGAGTAGAATGATATGATTTGAATATGTCCCCACAAAAGTTCCTGTATTGAAAACTTAATTGCCAATAAAACAGAATTAAGAGGTGGGGCCTTTAAGAGATGATTGGGCAGTTGAAGATTTTTTGATCAACTGGACTGGGGAGAAATGTTCACATATTGAAATGTTCACTTTGTAAGCTAAATAATGTGATTGAATGTATAAAAAAGTTTAAAAAAAGAGATGATCGGACAGAACCCTCATGAATAGATTAATGATGTTATTGTGGGTTTGAGTTATTCCTCACAAGAATGAGTTAGTTCTTGTGAGTGTAGGGTGTTATAAAAGTTAATTTGGCTTGTTCACTCTTGTATATTTTACACATTTGCCTTTCTGCCATGCTTTGATGCAGGAAGAAGGCTCTCATCAGACCCTGCCCAGATGTCAATACCTTGATATTGGAATTCTTAGCCTGCAGAACTGTAAGCTAAATAAACCTCTATTCTTTATACTTACCCAGGCTGGAATATTTCATTAGAACAGCATAAGATAAAGACACATGCAGTATAATATTGTCAAGCTATGGTGCCTTAAGGAATAAGAAACTAGTAGTGGGATTTTTACATGCCAGAGCCCAGTAGGAAGGAAAGAAGGCAGGTAGAGAGCCTAATAAGTCAGACATATTGATCTTTCCAGGCAGTAAGTAACCAAAAGCTATTTATAGATTTATAAACTAGGATTAAGTAGAAACTGAGAAATCATCTTTTTTCCAATGCCTTGTGTTTTAATATAACAAAGAGAAAACAGACAAGGTAAGTACTTGTTTATACTCACAAAGTGTGTTAGTAGAAGACCAGGGACTGAGACTAGACTCTGATTTCTAGCCTGGTCTCCTGTCCTGATCTCAGCAGTTCCTTGCAGGGAAATAAATCAGGGCAGCATCTGGCTGTGAACTGAGATCAAAAGAAAGGTACTTAACCTCCGTGACCTTCCTTTTTCTTATCTTCAAACGTGAGTAACAACTGGTTTTTAACTTAAAAGGTAGTTGTGAGAATTAAATGGACTAAAGTGCAATAGGCCCTTAGCACAGTACTTGTTGCAAAGTAAGGACTCAACAAATATTAGGAGTTATTATTATTGAGCTTTAAAAATAAAGTTTATTTATTTTTTGTGAGAGTATGTGATTGAGAGAGAAAGAGCGAGAGCGAGAGCAAGACAGAGAGAGAGAGAGAGAGAGAGACCCTAAAGGGTCTTGTCATGCTTTAGCCTTTCCCCGATCCTCCCAGACAGTCAGGACTGTGGGTGTGCCCACAGGTCTGCCTTGGATATTTATATTGGCCAGGATCTGAACCCCAGGTCTTTTCATAGGGTTCTGTATCATGCACCAGTGCTCTGTCACCTGTGTCATGGTGGCTAGGCCAGAAAAAGAGATTTTTAAATAGATTTGTAGTTATATATGTTTGTGTTTTCTCTTAGAATGCAAAATATTTATTAAAAATTTACATAGGGTAAAATTTGCTCTTTTTTTGCGCATAGTTCTTTGAATTTTGGCAAATACATACAATCATGTAATCACCACCAGAATTAAAATATGGAGCAATTTTATTACTTCAAGAAATTGCTGCCTACTTTCACTCTTTTTTTTTTTTTTGGAGAGGTTTTTTTTTTTTTTTTTTGCTATAGGGCGTGTGTACTCGCCAGACAGACAGAGAGACATAGAGACAGAAAGCGAGAAATCACCCCCCAGAGGGGATGGTCACACCGTAATCCCTTCTCCTCCATTCTCCTCTTGGGATCTTGGGCATGCACACACACGCGCCCGGTGTGAGTTTTAAGCCACCGGGTCCGGGACGCGAACCGGTTGACTATGTGGGAGTCCAGCTACATAGCCATTACGCTAACTGCTGGTTCCCTATTTTCGCTCTTCTAGTTAACTCCTGTACCTACTCCCAGATTTAGCAAAGGCTTACAATTTTACCCTTTTCAGAATGTCATTTGAATGTAACTGTTTAATAAGTAATGTTTGAGTTATCTCCTTTCATTTGGCATAATATGTGAGACTTATCCATTTTGTCATAAATAACGTACATGTATATTTGTGTCACATACACACACATATATATTTAAAATACATTGTTTTAATTGCCGGGGGGGGGG